CTACGGCACTGCTTCACAAATCATTTAGATCCAATTTATTTAGAACTTTCTTTAAAAAGAAAAAGAACTCTAGAAACAGAATTGCTTCTGTGAGCGAGTCCCCGTTTAAAGTTTCATTTTACATAAAGGTGACAGGACTTTTACCTCATCCATTTGTGTTCAAGAAGTAACTATAATAATGATAACAAAGCAATCAGAATTTTTGGCAGGTTTCTTAAAATTTAAAAAGTGAGTCTCCTCCAAATGTCTTTTCTCTCTAAGACTGAGCAACACAATCAGCATTTTGGAGGCTTCATCTGTACCTTATGTTTTGGTCATTAGATGTCATTGCCATAGATGGGAGTGGGTAAATCAAGGCATCAACTAATGTTTGGAAAAGCAAAACAAAAACAAAAAGAAGTTTCACATACATACAGCAATTAAAATGACAGAAATAGATCAAATAAAGTCTGAAGTTTAAATATAGAGTCCACGGCCCACAGTCAAAGTCACCTTTTTTCTTCAGCCTGGCTCTACGTACAGCCAACACTGATCAGCACTCATCACCTCAGAGATCTAGATCTTATGCATGGTAGTAGCTCACTGAAAATGGAGGCAGCTGACTGTAGAGGGCTCCGAAAGTGGTCAGCAAATATTTAAATAAAACCCTAAATTTTATGAGGAGCTTTTGTAAGAAATCTCTGTCAGACGAGACCATTTATGGACCTGGTTAGAAGCCTCGCAGCAGCATTCTGGACCGTTTGCAGGCGATCCAGGGACAGTTTGCTTAGGCAGAGGAATAAGGAATTGCAATAATCGAGGCAGGATGAAAAAAGGTTCTATACATACTAGAGATGGCACGATACCACTTTTTTATGTCCGATACCGATACCGATATCATAAATTTGGATATCTGCCGATACCGATATGAATCCGATATAGTGTTTTTAATCAACAAAGCTGTTTTTTAAATATCTTGCTGCATTTTGTATAAGTTCATACTCAAGTTTAAAACAACAACTACACTAAAGCTATTCTGTTATACCTGTATACAAAAAAAAAATATTTCATAGTTCAGCAATACTGATCAATCTAATAAACTTAAACCTGCACCATCCTCCCTATTCTGGTATTTTAAAGAGTACTTAGCGTAAATATTAAGCAACCTAACTAATAGGGTTCCAACTCCCAGCAACAACAAAAATAAATAAATAAAAAATAGGGAACCACCCCTCACGCTCCACCTCATGATGCTTAATCAACGTAATCAACTTTAATTTGATGCAGTGTGAAAAAAAATGCACAGAAATCAATTATTTTTTCAAGAATAATTAAATAGATTCAACATCTTTCTTCAACAGAACTGCAGACTGCACAGATGGTACCTTCCCAAAGGAAAAAGTACTATAGCTTACTAGGGTATATTAGACTTAACAGTTACTATATACAGTAATGGACTTCTATATATTTTACATCAGATTAAAACTTTGGGTGTCAGATTCAGATAATTATTTATTAAAAGCTCGACATTTTAAATGAGAATAAGAAAGAAAAGTATGTCTTTGTGCCCCCTTTTCCCTGTTAATGCCCTATCGGCCCCCCTGGCTAAACTTTGCTAGATCCGCCCCTGCACAGTTACCAGCCGTCAGCTGTAGAAAAAGATCCTCGAGTAGAAAGCAATATTAAATACATCCTAACAACAGCTGATCAAGCTTAAACCTGCTGCTGTTGTTCAGCTGCTGGTTTCCTCTTTCTGGTGCAAAGTGAGCCAAAGACAAACAAGAGAGACGGACTCCCGACAGAAAAGCCGATCAGCTGATCATTGATCAGTTTCATGATTGAAGTAGCAGCAAGAGAGAGAGAGAGGGAGGGAGAGAGAGGCAGTCGCTCCATATATCGGTTGTTAAGCTTAATGTGGGAATGCTTTACAAACATTCAGAGATGAACTTACACACTTGCTTCTCTCTGGGAAAACTTCCTCGGAGTTTGGCAGCGAGGCTCCAAACACACACAGCCGCTCTATCACGTGACCACACTGCTCCCACGTGCTACGGTTATGAGCCGAGTTACGTCGTGTTGCAAGTTTTGTGAGGTGCTTTTTTGATATTTAATGGATCGGATTACATTTCTTATTTCTCTCCGATATCCGATCCAGTAATTTACGTCAGTATCGGACCGATACGATACGTAATATCGGATCGGTCCATCTCTAATACACAGCGATGGTAAAAGGAAAGTGTTGAAATCAGAAGCTGTGCGGCAGGCTGAAATGTTGAATAAAGGGAAGGTGTGAACACAGATAACTGGTGAAAGTTGGGCAGGTTGCTGTATGAGCGACTGTAAGGACACAACGGTTTGAAAACGGCACCTTTATTATGTTTCCTTTTCAACACGACTGACATGAACAGGGACATGAGTCCCATGTTGTGTACAGCCTCAATAATGAGTCATTTGTGCAAAATAATTATTATTGCTTTCTGAAAAACATCGGCTACTCTGAAGTAATGTTTTGAGCAGTTTATAAAGTATTCTTTATATCTTACTGTGTTTATGAGTTTGTGTTGCCCTTAAAGCTTTGATGGGTGCTGCAGCTGTCTGTGAGTGTCTCTATAACAGTTTAGGTTACAGTGTTAAGCAGCTTAGAGATGCCAAATGGATTAAGTGTTTTGTTCATACATAGTAAAGTAATCTGGTTAGCAAAGATGATACATTCCTCCTCCTCCATCTGCCCACACTCCTTTCTTTTTCCTCCATATTTCCACATTTCTTTCCTTTCATCCCTTTCAGTTAAACACACACATACATCTGCAGAGAGCAGTCTTATAGAAAGTGGTCTGGAGAGGTCAGCTTATATATTTTATGCCCATCCATGATACAAAAAAATTCCATTTGCAGTAGGGTAGTGTCTTTTTTTTTTTTTTAGCAGCTGCGGTGCTTCTGTGATTGTTTTTAATGCAACATTTTTTCTACTTATTCAAAATAAACATGAATTGTATAAGTTCAGTATGTCTGTGTATGTGAGAACAGCACCTGTAAGTATGTTCAGGATGAAAATCTTCCTTTTTCTGTCCCTGCAGCTCAGATCACCAAGTATCAAGTAGCTGGGCCCTCGTGGGTCCGGACACAATAAGTGTTTATATCTGCCAATGTGCGTGTGCATGTTTGCAAGTGTGTCCTTTGCCAGCCAGACAGCTCTGCTCTAATATTTTCTTGGGTAATATTACCGACAATGCAGACAGGCTTCTCACTTTCCCTTTTGTGTCTTTATTCTCCACTTTCTGTGCTCCTGTTTTGAACTCTGAAATCTCGCCTCTCATCATTTTCTGTTTTTCTCACATCTTTGTTTTTTTTTCCATCTTACTACAACAAAGGTTGCAACAGAGCCAGAAGCCTTACTGTCCACACACACACACACACACACACACACACACACACACACACACACACACACACACACACACACACACACACACACACACACACACACAGTAACCTGCAACTGTATCAATGGATGTATTAAACCGCAGTGACACTAACTTTCCTCCTATACGAACCTTCTAAAGAGGGACAGAATTAAGCGTAACATGTTTTGTGATTGCAAATCCTTTAGGTTCAGACTTCATGTCTGTTGTTCTACACTAGAATTATGTTAAAGTTTCAACAATTTATTCACTCAACCAAATCAGTTTATTTTCTTTGGGTGAAATGACGTGATGAAAGTCCATCCCTTCATCTTGTTCGGCTTATCTGTTTCAGTGCCTTGGCTTTGGCTGAGCGTATCCTGTCACAGGGTGAAAGGCAGAGTACATCCTGTACAGGTCACTGAACCACTGCAGGACTAACACAGACAGACAGCTGCTCATGCTCACAGTCACACCTATGGCCACTTTAAACTCTCCAATTAACTTAAAGCCATGGATGTGTTGGAATGTGATGGGAAGTCAGAGTACCTGGAGAGTACACAACAAGGCCCCAGCCACCTCTTAGATTCAAACTCAGCACCTGTAAGGCAACAGTGCGAACTATTTCTTTAAAATAGTAATTAAAACATATCAAATACTTAAACTGAGATAATTATAAAAATCAGTTTGCAGCATGTCTCAGAAGCAACAGTTGCCTTTGAAAATTGAATAGATTCTCACCAGGCAGCCTTGACTTGCCAGATATACGTACATTTAACTGGCAGGGCTTTTTGGTTTTGCCCCCCGCTCGACCACCATGCGGGACACTTCCTGGGAGTGTGCACAATAATCTTGGATATCACTTTAAATGTCAGAGAACTAAGTTTCTCAAATCCATGTTTGTGCTGTTTTGTCTTAAACAACTTAATGGTTGCAATTAATAGATTTTTACATAAACCCCAAATATCAGAATTAGGTAAAGTAACATGTTTGGAAATTGTTATCAATGCTTTTATTTACAACTTATGATCCTTTACTAACAATAGCTGATAGTTTTAGATTGCTTTTTGTAATTACTGAAAGAAGTCTACTATTGCATTACATGAACAGATAAATGACTATCATTGACCAAACTGTGAAATAAAGTTCTATACGTTTATATACATTTCTGTCTAAATAGTGTAGCAGCTGGTGCTAGAACCATCTGTGCTCGTCTCTACTGAGACTGAAGAAGGCAAACATGTGCTGCATGACATTCAGCAGCCCAGGTTTGAGTCTGACCTGAGGCCCCTTGCTACACGCCTTCCCCTGCAATCTCTCCCTGCTTTCCTGTCGACTCTCCATTACGGCAGCATCCAATAAAAGGCAAAAGGCCCCAAAAGAGATTTTAAAAAGTAAAAGTGCAACTGGATTTCTTGTAGCATTTTAACAGTATAACGTTACTTTCAAGTTGGCCCACGAGGATCTCTAACCCATCAGCTACACAACAGTTGAATCAGAAAGACCGAGCTAACTGTTGTGACTTGTTGTTTCTAAGTGTGACAGAGATGAATAAGAACTGTTACTTGAGCACAAAGCAGGACATGATATCAAAAATGGAGCGAACAGTTGATCTCCTACCATTGTCGCTGTCCGATTTGTTCTCGTGCTCAGTGTCAGTTAGAGTCAGCACTGAGTTGGAGCGGCTCGACAGGCAGGAACTCCTCCCGGATGATTTACCCAGACCTCCGCGGCCCCACAGATGCATAGCATGCTCTGGGGACATGACTGCCTGACTATCAGTGTCTAGCTCCTGAGCTGTACCAACTGAGAAACCACGGTGGGGTGGAGGCATTTCAGGGCAGAAAGGCAGGCCGCGACGAGACGGTGGCTCACAGATCCCCAGCTGACGAAGACTGAAGTGTTGACCTGAAACAGATGGCCGTGTTCAAATCATTTAGAAATCATTAGATCATCGCAAATGACTATAGATCTAATACACAGAGATGGTGTGACTATGGCATAAAATATACACTATATTGCCAGTGTACACTCACCCATCCAAATCATTGAATTCAGGTGTTCCAATCACTTCCATGGCCACAGGTGTATAAATTTAAGCACCTAGGCATGCAGACTGCTTCTACAAACGATTGAGAAGAACAGTAACTCAGCCACAAAGTGGTAGGCCATGTTAAATCGCAGGCCGGGGTGCTGGGTATGCAGAGGTCACCAACTTTCTGCAGAGTCAGTTGCTACAGACCTCCAAACCTGATGTGGCCTTCAGATTAATTCAGGAACAGTGTCTCTTTATTAATCTCTGTCTCTCTTCCACAGCATGTCTTCATCCTGTCTTCCTTCTCTCTCCCCAACCAATCACAGCAGATGGCCCCGCCCCTCCCTGAGCCTGGTTCTGTTGGAGGTTTCTTCCTGTTAAAAGGGAGTTTTTCCTTCCCACTGTCGCCAAAGTGCTTGCTCATAGGGGGTCATATGATTGTTGGGTTTTCTCTGTATGTGTTATTGTAGGGTCTACCTTACAATATAAAGTGCCTTGAGGCGACTTGTTGTGATTTGGTGCTGTATAAATAAAACTGAATTGAATAGAAAACTTCATCGAATTTGAGTTTATGACCAAGCAGCTGCAGTCAAGCCTCATATCACCAAGGACAACGCAAAGCATTGGATGAAGTGATCTAAAGCAGACTTCCAGTAGACTCGAGAGCAGTGGGGATCTGATCTCCGGGGTGACAAATCGTGTTTCTTTGTATGGCAATATGATGGCATCTGAGTTTGGCGACTGCCAGGAGAATGTTACTTCGCTGTCCAGTGTTATATTTGTTGGTGAGGGGATATGGTGTGGAGTTGTTTTTCAGAGCTGGGCTTGGCCCCTTAGTTCAACTAAAGCAAATCTTAATATTCAGCATAACAAGATACAATTTCAAGCTCCCAGCTATGTGGGAACAGTTTGGGGGTGGCCCCTTCCTCTTCCTACAGCACTGTGCACCAATGCACAAGGACAGAGTCCTGACCTCAACCTGACAAACACCTTGGAAATATAGACTGAGATCCAGGGGCTCTCGGCCAACATCATTGTCAGATGTTGCAAATGGTCAAAAATTCCCCCAAACTCACTCCTAAACCTTGTGGAAACCCTTGATCTGAAGCTATTATAGCTGCAAAGGGTGGGCTGACATCACATTAAACCCTATGGATTAAGAACGGGATCTCACTCAAGTTCATATATGTGTGAAGGCAGACGAGTGATTAATTTTGGCAATACAGTGTATATATAGCAGGTGGAAGACAGCTATGGAAAAATAGTCAAACAAGTCTGTGAGGAATCTTTGACAAAGCAATTCTTATGAGACTGAATGAATAACTTAGAAGACAAACCAGACAAAAGGTGCCTCAAATCCAGTTAGACGTTGAGAATATAAGTGCTTTAAGTCTCATGTATGGTGGTGCAGCTCACAGTGACATGTACATGTTTAATATAATCAATATGAAGCTGTGCTTTAGTTTTGTACACAGTTTGTTCAGATGTAAATTAGAGAGTTAAAGATCAATTTTACTGCTAATTAAATGACAACCTTTACTCATTATTAGTGTTATTACAGTAAAAGCAGTAAGTGAAAAATAATAATAAATAATTATATGATAATAGTAAACATTATTGATTTTAACAGCTCAACAGCTTTTTAAACAGTGAATAGCATTAAAAAACATTTACCGTTTGTACCGACACTTTCCCAACTCACTGTAGTCAAATTTGGAAGGTTTCTAAATAACAAGCTAAGTATGTGTGCGGGAGGTGGAGTGGTCTAAAAAGGACAGGAGCCTGATATAAAATAAAACAACGAGAATGTATTCAGGGCAGCCAATAACCCAGAATCATCTTGATGCACGCTCAATCATTCAGGTAAGAACATCTCCAAAAGCTGGTTCTGTTCATCTGGATATTTTCAGTGGGAGAAACGTTTCGTCATCTTCAGTCTCAGCTGACTGCAGGCTTCAATCTTATAAACAGGACATTTGCATGATGACTGAAACCAGCCCACTGAAGGAACAATGGGCTGGGAGCTCAGTTCCTTAGTCTTAATTATGCAAATTCTCATGACCATTGATCAGCAACCACTGATCAATACCCACTGATCAATGGCCATTCACAGATGGTACTCATGGCGAAAGTGACGAAACGTTTCTCCCACAAAACGCTACGTCCAGAATCAACTTTTGGAGAAACCCAGAATCATGTTTACGCTGAGTGTCTGATGATCCTAGCTTTCCTGTCAGAGCCTGAGCTTTAACAGGTAACAAAGGCAGTGACGAGCAATAACGTTTCTATGCTAGAATCACTGCAGTTGCCTTGAAGTCTGTTTGGGCTGGTTGTCATCTTGGTTTGTCAGGTGTGTGCTCATACATAAAAAAGATTGCATGTATTTCCTCAGTAAGACAGGGATCTGTGTTGGTGTGTGAGTGTAGCCTCAGGTTTATTTATAACTGATGTGTTTCAGGGCATTTTACAGAATAACAAAGTAACGTACGTATTGTCGAAATTACTTTCTATGATGAGTAATTAAGTGAGGTACTGCATTACTTTTAAGAAAGGTAATGAGTAACATGTAATACATTACTTTTTCTCAATAATGACTGTAACATGGGAATAAAGTAGTCTAAGTAAAGTCTGCGTTTTTTTCCCTCCTGTACTCTTGTTTAAAAATCTGCTATAATTTAAAAATAGATACAATACAACAGAATGAAGACGCTAAATAGTAAGTAAAAGTAAATAAATAAAATTAAATTTTCTATTTCAAATGCTGTTTCTTTGATATCTGTATTTCATATGATTTAATTACATTTAATTGGAAATGAGGAGTAACTGGAATTGAGCTCAAATCGTTTTCAAATAACAGGATAATCCTTAAAAACATATTTAAAATCTAAGTGTGTGCTTCATTTTCAATCAGCAGATATAAAACCATTCTATGATTAACAGCACAGCAAGAGAGAAGCCGTGGTGCTGTTCAAATTCATGTGACATGAATTCATCCTCTCCACTTTAAATAGCTGCAAATATACAGGTGATAGGATAACTGACTAATTTTCTATTATATGTTCAATAACGTATACTGTTGTAAGTGGACTTGGAGAAAAATGGGTTTAGTCTTTTGTTGATTTTTATTCATTTTACTGTGTGATTTTTCTCTTTTCTCACTTTTTCACTTTCATTGGGCGATTATAGCCTTCAGACTTATTATCATATGCTTCCATCCTCTTTCTGGACTCCTGTCATATATACTTTTAATGTTAGGTTATGCAGATTTTATGCATACAATTCTAGGTTGTTTAAATTTCATTTATATGTACTTTAATGTCTCTACATTGTAATCATATTTTTAAAGAAAGACAATTCATATTTCTAAAGTAACTGATGGAAATATCTTTTTTACAGTAGTTTTGTTGGTCTTAGTGCACACATACAAATAGATGGGGATAGCATTGCTGTCTGTGCACTTTTGTAGACTCTCACCTTGTCTGTTAAAATCATCCTTTTCATGGTGAACCATGTCCTTGTGTCCCTTGGTTGTTCCGTACAGTAACCTGTCAAAAGCCAAGGGCAAAAAGGATAAAGGAAGGTGCTGCACACACGCTGTAGACTTTTGATGATCCATGTTCGGAACTATACAACTACCACATCATCATTATACCATCATCAAAAATACAGGAAACAAACTACACTCTGCTTTTTTATGAATGTTATGTAACTAAATGTATCAAAGTGAAAAACAGACAAAGTGCAAATTCTTATGATGAAAAAACTGATACTAGTAAATAGGGCTGGGCGATATGGCCTAAAATCCATATCGTGATATAATTTGAAGCACGTGCGGTAACGATATATATCTCGATATATTCTTTTCTTCTGTATAATGTATTTTCCACACTATAAGGACTTAAAATCCTTTGATTTTCTCAAAAATCGACAGTGTGCCTCATGTATGAATTCTGGTTGTGCTTACTGACCTCGAACCAATTTTGGCTGCAGAAATCTGTTAAAAATGTTTTAGTACAACTTTGGTAAGCCGCCCTGCTTGATGGATTGTCAGAGCATTACGGCTGCCGTAGTGAGGAGCTTCACGGAGTAATCTGGGTCCGAAACTCCGTCCGCTTCAGGTCCCAAAGTCAAAGTTAAAAACAGTCTAAAGTCTTTCATCTTTAATAAAATCATCAGCGTTGCTGCTTTACCAGGTGTAACAATTAAGTTTAACATCCAGGCATCCATGAAAACAGAATTTAAATTTAACGGAGTTACAAGTTAACAGGAAGTTAGCTCGCTAGTTTCCACCTAAGCATGATATAGCATGTTCTGACTGAGAGATTTTTGAAACTAATTCAAACGTACAGCTCTGCTATCACTTCCAACATAAATGAAGACAGAAAACTAAACAGCAGTGGCGTTTGCAGGGTTACTGAAGTTGGGCTAGCTGGTATATAATGTTGTGCTACGTGATTGCTAGCGACACAGCTATGTTAGCATAACATTAGCACAGTGAAGCTGGAGGATGAACGCCAACTTTTCTTCCACTCGATAAAAGTTAACGTGAGGGATTCTGGTGGTCAGGGACAAATGCAATCGCATAGCAGGATGCTATACACGGGCCAACCTTCAGTCAGGAGAACAACTGAGATCATTCATCCACAATACGAGGTTAGTTATTAATATACTGCAACAACATGGGAACAGAGCAGCTGCGAGAGAATTCAACATTAATGAATCGATGTTACGGAAGTGGAGGAAGCGCAGGTTTTGGCTTTCCCCATATTTCAAAAGTGCTTCATCTCTTTGCTGTGACTGTTGCCCGTCATAATTTGCAGATGATAATGGTTTTAGCCGCTGCGATGCTTTCAACCAAAACAGGCGCAGCTTGATGACATTATCAACATGTGCTATCGCGATAGAGCGGTATAATCAAAATCTCTATCGTTGGCCAAATTTATATCGTTTCTATCGTATATCGTTTATATCGCCCACCCCTACTAGTAAATTAACCTACATATATTTACTGGAATTATACAAAACAGCATTAAGTAATGATTACTGTAAGATGATTAAATAAATGTCTATACTAAGAACATTGTATTTGAATGTCTTTATGCATGCTGAGTCATCGCGGTAAGAAAATCCCAGAAAGTTGATTCTGTTCATGTGGACAGTGAGACACGTTTCACAACTACAACCACAATTTACTGGTCACGTTAACTTGGTGGACAAATACATTAATTTCACTAGAAGAATATGAAAAATGACAGGCTAGCCTTCTTAGACTGAGATTTCCTTGAGTAATGGGGGACATTTAAAGTCGATGTGCACCGTAAACAACATCCGAGATCTCAGGAGAGCACAGTCCCACGAACAGCTAAGATACTGCGAGGGCCCTCAAGCTCCCAGGCCTCTGGTAGAGGACCTGAGCTTGAAGGACAGATGGGAGGGGTGAGAGGGGAATTTTTTTAATAATATAGTCTCATCATCCACTGGACACAAATATCATCAAAATGACCCAACACAGAGCGAACACCATCACCACAGACACAATGGCTAGGGAAGAAGAAGAGCATCATATCAAAAAAGGCCCTGACTCCCTCTGTGACCATTCATCGATGGTCAAGGCTGACCTCATGGCCCGTTCTTGTCAGTGGTGCTAGTTTCGGTCATAATGCAAATGTTCTGCTTATAAGGTTGGGGAAAGCGGCAGCTGGCCAAGACTGAGGAAGGTCTACGTCAACCTAAGTCTTTTTAAGTAGAGATAAACTTTGCTTATAAATTCCCATATATGTAGGTTTATTCAATAGAGTATAATTAATACGGTAGATTTTCAGCCAGCTGTTTACAAAGGTGAATTACACAGAGGAAAAAATAGAGATACTCACATACAGAAAAGAAATTCTAATCACGGCAGTTTGTGTTTTTGACATTTTTGACACAGTTCTGATATTGCTCAACAAAACAGAAGATAATATGCGTGTCATCTATTTTCTAACCTGGTCTGGTCTTGGTGCTGGTCAAAAGCCTTCAGTGTTTCACTGGAGGAATAGGACTTCTGGGTGGGGACCCGGAGTCCCTGGGAACCAATAGCACAGCCTTCACTGTCCCCTGATAAACATAAAATAGACAGATTAAAAAGTCTTTATGTAGATGCAGCTCAAGCCATAATCCATCACTATGTACAGTTAAAGTAGAGCATCAAAATCAACTCTGAACGAGAAGGTTGCAAATGTCTGCCAGGCCCAACACACTTTTCAGTTTTACTTGCTTAAAATGTTGGTAGTTTAACCTCCTAAGACCTGAACTCTTCCACGACATGCATTTTTAAGTTCTCTTTGGTATTTTGGCTGATTGGGACCCGATGAATGTAAAAATAAAGAATTACCAGATGGTTTGTTTTTTTTTTTACCTAATTTTTGTTTCTAAGAAAAATGAGAGCCACATATGAGGATATTTATTTAAAATTTCAATAGAACAGTAGCAGTATAATGTCCTCGTGAGTGGATATCGGGCCTTTGTAGTGCTAAATTGAGTATTTGGTCTAAATAACCCAAAATGTGATGTCCACATATGTGGACACCAGGTCCAGGAGGTTAATTTACAACAGCAAATATTTTGACTTCCAACAAATAATTTCATTGAGGAAGGATACAATAATATAATCAATAACCATCAATGAGACACTTTCATTTTTATCAGCACAAGTTACAAACAGTGCCAACTAAGGTGCTGAAAACGAATGCTCAATGGCTTGAAGATGAGCTGTGAAGCTGTAGTTTACTTGCTTTACTAATTACTTCCGTCTCCTCATGTCCTACACAGAGAACTTCTGCTGTTTTCTACCTACATGTCCCTAGGCTTTAAATACACACTGCAAGGGCTAATGAGAAATGACACAGAACTAAAGAACTAAACCAACCTTGACTAAAAGAGGGTAACCAGATAGGTAAATAGGTTAAGCACAATACACAAGTGATAACAAAATAAAACAAGAAGTGAGATGCAAAAACTAGCAGATAAACACCGGCAGAACTGAGCTAAGTATAGGGGAATTCCCAGAGACAGGAATGCTGTGAAAAAACTGAGGGAATAAACACCAAGGCAAACCTTTAAACAATAAGCAACCTAAGAATTAAACCTAAGTTATTAAGTGATTCTTGGCATAAACTGAACTGAACTGTTGATATTATTTTATGTTACACGTTTATGTTAAACTATTATAACATAATAGCTTCAAAGAAAATTTCAGGATTACTGACAGTAGTAGTAAGCTCTCCACCAATCATTTCACCATAATTTAGCTTCTTCTTTAATCGAAAAAAGACACAAAACAAATAATGAAACCAGGTTGCATTTACTGGATTTACTGAGGAGGGTAAGTCACTGCAGACTACGTGATTTTTATGTTGTGTCTGTTCCATTAATAACTAACAGAAAGAAGTTTTGGTCTCAAAACGCTTAGAAAGCATCAACTTATAAAATTAAATTAAAAAAAAGAATAAAATGTCCTTGATAACAACTACATTAAAATAGCTTCTCTTTTTATTGAATAAATACAATCATATTATAATATAAACAAAATTATTCACACATACGAGGGACAGAAAAGTGTACGGTCAAATCAAATAATAATTTTGAATGTTTAATATCCAAAATCAAACATTGCGGTATGTTTAAGAAACATGCAGATGGATAAAATAAACTCAAGGAAGACAAAATCATCACCACACGAAGCCACTCCTGACATACCTTTGACTTCTCAGGAGTAAAAAATGAGGTGATATACACAAACCAAAGACAGAGCCAGGCCAAAATTTAGTTGTAACAAAATGTAACAGCTCATCTAAAAAACAGCAAACTGACAGGAGTTTGCTATTTGGCTTTTGAATACTCTTGTGGTAGTACAATGTAGTAATAAAATATTTATATACTGTGAGGACCAATATCTTAATAATAATGAATAAGAATGGTGGTATATGTAGATTACATTGTAAGGGTTGCAGACGATTGTCTAGCTCTACAGCACATGGACATCAACGCAACCTGTGTATGCACAGAAATCATTTGACAAACAATCTCTATGATAATCTACTGAGGAGGCCTCACAATCTTGCTGCAATGCTTTCCTGATCCTGTTACCCAGTCATGATTTAAAAAGAATCTCAGCTGTTTTTATGTTTAGTGTTTAATTCATTTACTGATTGTTGTTTTAATATAATTAAATTATAATTGAGAATGGAATTATAGATGGCATTAAAGAAAACCTAAGAACCTAAGCCTTCACAGTCACAGGAAGCATGCAATATATAAATTCCCCTCTCGTCCCTGCGGGCAGTCTATCCTTCAAGTTTGGGTCTTCTACCGGAGGGCTGGGAATCTGAGGGTCCTGCGTAGTATCTTTGCTGTTCCTACACTGTAAAATGTAATATTGTGTTTAATTAAAAATAATAAGTAGGCAGAACTCAGTTTTTTATCAATTTGTTATTAGAACTCAATTTAAGTAACTTACCAGTACTTGTTATGCAAAAATGCTGATCAACTCAATTTATTTGAGTTTTCTTAACTTAGAAAAGCTAAGTAAGCTGGAAATGTTGCTTCTCAGGGCGGAAGGATGAAACGATGTGGTTTGAAAACACTACCGTCCTCCTCCCTCTCGGATCAGTCCGCATGTTCATGGTGCATCTGTTATGGAATATGTTGAGCAAACCTGGAGAAGCGTCAGCTCAAGAGATTATTGTCATTGCTGTGGATCTTTACCTGATACACTGACTTGGTGAGTAAATGTTTACTCTTATTCAAACTGATTTTGTGGCTTCTCTTAGTTTAGCACCAGGTTTATAATCTTGCTAGCTAGTTAGTGTTAGCCTAGCGTTGCTGCTGCCGCTGGGATCATGTTACTTAAAAATTAACACCACAGCCTTAAAAACCTTATAAAATATGTCTGTGAAATTTTCTGTTGATTGTTTGAAAAAAAAAAGTGAGATAAGAGCCCAGACAAAATTCTTCGGGAGGTGCAGCCGTTAGGGGTGGGGTGTGGTGTGGGGGGTATTTTCAATCCATAGCCATAACTAACTAACTAATTATTTATATCATGTTTAACCTGAGTAGCAAAAGTCCGCAGGGGGGTTGAAAACGATACGCCAGCAGTTACCTGTGCTCGCGGACTCTATTGAGCCTTGACCTCCTGGTCAGCTATCGCGCTGGTGGATAACAGAGCTCTCCGAAAACATGGAAGCACTTTTGCAAATATGTGATATTTTGATAAATTAAGTAGATATTTGAGCATTACACAGCTACATTCTCGCCTGAAAATATCTTAAAAGTTTATTTTGTGACCCAGAAAGGGTAGTCTGGGGAAACGGAGGCCGTGGTTGTCGGAGCCTGTCTATGTGTACTTGTGTGTACTTGTGGTCTCATGGACTTGTGATATGTCGGAGACCAAGTACTGTTCCAATTCAAAGTACACATGAAGCTGGGAACGCGAAAATTTCCGGGATGTGTTTTTGCTCCTCTCGTTTTATCGAGCATGTATCCTGACTTGTGTGGACTTCGAGGGACGTGGTACAGCTAAATATCCCAGAATGCAATTGTCCAAAACTCAAACGCGGCAATGGCGGAGGAGCGCAGCTAAAAAAACTTTAAATATTACATTTCCCGGGTCACAAAATAAACTTTTAAGATATTTTCAGGCGAGAATGTAGCTGTGTAAAGTTCAAGTATCTGCTCGATTTATCAAGACATCACATATTTGCAAAAATGCTCCAACGTTTTTGAAGACGTCTATTTTTTTAATGCTTTGTGGCAGCTTTTGAACATCTGTGGCATCTATTAATGTCAAATCTAGACTTTCTTTAACAACATAAGCAAACTGCTTTTATATTTAACCACTTTTCTGTTTAATTACAATTTAAATAATAATATTAACAATAGTATTTGTTTTGTTAAAACGTGCTTAAAAACAAGTTTTGTTGTGAAAGCTATAATCCAGATTAGTGGCCTGTTAAATGGTTGAAGTCTAGGTTGGCTTTATAACTGAGAATAAAGTATTGTTGTCCTTCTAAAGAATTAAGTTAAATTACACAGTTGAATCATAAGAAACATTATGTTACATATAAACCCTGCCATATGTTAGATCTGGTCATATTGCTTATAAGAAACTTTATATACTGGAGGTTAGCTTTGAACAAGCATGTAATGATTATATTTAAATTCGGGGGTCTTTTTTTAAACACACTAAACTGACAGTGCCAATACCACACATTCAGACACAGTAGTAGATGCTGTTTTTATTACTATATGTGTTAGTCTAATTTGGTTGTATGGGGTCTACATTGACCCTCTGTGTTGTAAGTTATTATGATTGCACAGCCATTAAGGATCAAATCAGCTTCTGTGTTTTCTCCCTCTGCTTGCTTCTTACTGTCTTTGAGGCTCGGGACCAGCACTCCTGCTGCTGGACAGAAAGACATCAGTAAGTATTTTGGTTTTCCAATATATTAGCAACTGTCAGTGACATTTATATTAATCAGGCTGAACTTTAATCATACTTTAGATCAGCCTGTTTTACTTATTGTTTTATTTGTGCTTTGGTTTGGGGAAGTTGTTTCTTTACTGATCTTTTCCTGTCTTCTGTTATTAGACTTGAGATATGACTGCACTATGCTGTTGCTGGTGACTCCAGTTAATTTTAAATATGTTTATATTGTCTATCCTGTAAAATAGTCAGATGTCTATTCATATTAATGTACAGAATTCACCAGCTTGCTGCTACTACTGCACATTCACCCAGTGTATATACTATATGTGTGTGTATATATATATATATATATATATATATATATATATATATATATATATATATATATATATATATATAATGTTTTTCCTCTACACCCCCCCCCCCCCCCCCCCCCCCCAATTTTTTTGCACATGTCGAGGAGCGTGTCAGGCTACATTTCACTGTGTGTTATACTTGTATAACTATGCATGTGACAAATAAAGAACCTTGAACCTTGAACCTTAATTCTACAAGACATGCTGTGTAAGTAAACAAACAACAACAGTTTGTCTGCATTTCTTGAAAGATCACATCTCCCAAACTTAGTTTA